ACTGTAGAGAAAAAAGGTTTTACTTTGTTTTTAGACAAAAGTGATACAAATGTATATAAGTGTAGCTGGCACAGCGGGCGCAGCGCAATAATTCAAGCTGCACGGCAACGTCCAGCTAAAACCGCAGCTTTTGTGGAAACACACATAAATCAGTCGGCGGAATCAATCGTGTGTGATGTTCTATCGTACTGTACGACTGTGCCTACATAGAATTGATGTTCGCGACCAGAGTCATGAGCAACATTCACAAATTGTACCGCGATAACGCACTAACATTATTTGCCGATTGTACCTTTGACTCGTACACAATTGAAACACACGCGTGAGGATTGTGTTATGTATGTAAATTATTAAATATACAAAGTATATGCAATTTGTCACTGGACAGATACTGGTACTAGCGTTTAACTTTAATTCTTACAACATAATTCCCTTACGCGATATAAATTACAAGCATCAATTACAACAAGACTGCATGCTCGCCGATAATTTCATATCTTCTTTTAATTAAGTAGTGAAAAAGGAAAGAAAATTAATCTTAAAAATTATAGAGAGCGTGTAATAAAGCTGATGTCGGAATAATAAGCAGTTGCAGCACCTGAGACGGAGCCTGGTAACTGGGTACTATAGTGCATAGTTAGAGGGCGCTTGCAGTGTCAAGCAGACCGTTAGTAATAATTAGTTAGGCTAATAAGCTAACTAAAACATAAGTCGTGTACTGTGTGCGTACTAAACGTACTTATAATGGTTAAGTTGATGGCGGCGCTCGTTTTAATGAAGAGTTATATGTGACTGGATTAGCGTAACAGATCCACGGAGCGTGTGACTACATAGTCGCGTACGACACGTCACGACACGACAGTTGATGTCGTTTTGTCGTAACTTGTTCTGAGCAGCTTGTAAATCAGCACCACTACCGCATTGCTCAAAGTTATCGGTGATGTGAAGGCAGGGATGGAGGACACCAGAGTCACTGTGTTGGTTTTGGTGGACTTCTCGAATGCATTCAATATGGTCGATCATGATATCCTGTTAGCGATCCTCTCCCAGGTTTCTGTATCTAATGACGCACTGGAATGGTTCTCATCCTATCTTCGCGAGCGTCAGCAGTTGGTCCAGGTTGGCGATACGTCATCGAGCTGGTGCCAATTGACTGCTGGCGTTCCTCAAGGCGGAATTCTCTCTCCTCTTCTATTCTCAACTTTTATAAATCGAGTCACTTCCGAACTTCAGTGTGCGTACCATCTATATGCCGACGACTTGCAGTTGTATTGCCAGGCTAGAGTCGAAGATTTGCCCGATGCGATCTCAAGGTTAAATGCGGACCTGGCTGCCTTGAACGATTGGTCAACAAGTTTTGGTATAGCAGTGAATCCCAGTAAATGCCAGGCAATAATTTTAGGAAGTTCCCGTATCTTTGGTAGAATCGACAGCGCAACAGTGCCGCCGCTTCTATATGACGGTGCGATTATCTCGCTCAGCAGTGACGTGAAGGATCTGGGACTGCACATCGACAATAATTTGACGTGGCGTGTTCAGATCGCTGGTGTTTGTAAACGGGTGACGGGCACGCTTCGGTCTTTGTATCGCCTTAAAAATTTTCTTCCGTCCTCCACCAAGATAATGCTTGTCCGTTCCTTGGTCTTTCCTATCATTGACTATGCTGATGTTTGCTACTACGACCTGAATGCAGATCTCATCAATAAACTGGACCGCCTTCTGAATAACTGTATTCGATTCATCTTCAACCTGCGTAAATACGACCATGTTTCTGCATACCGATTGCAACTAAAGTGGTTGCCCATACGTCAACGCAGGGAACAACGGGCACTAACCACTTTATACTCCCTGCTTAATTCCCCCACTTCTCCAAGTTATTTAGCCTCCTACTTTCAATATGTGAGCACCAACCACAATAAGTATCTCCGTTCCACAAACAATCTCCTCCTCCAAGGTCCCACACACCGAACCGACTTTCTCCACTCGTCATTTTTCATTCAGTCAGTCTTACTGTGGAATGCGCTGCCCACGGATATCAGGACGGCCTCCAGTCGGCTATCCTTTAAATTTAAAGTCAATGAATATCTTCGGAACAAACTGACACAATCAAGTCTCAATTAACACCCTCCTCAGAAACTTTATATATATAATTATATAAAATATATAAACCCATTATATATTTATTTTTATATTATATTATATTTTATATTATATATTTACATATTATATTTATGTTTCATATTAGTATGTAGTATTGGTATGTAGTTTATGTACTAGGATACCTTTATACATATGTACGTACATTTATCACCCTCGTTTTTATTTTTTTTTCGATAGATGCAAACTTCTTTTAAAGCCTACTGTAACACTTCTCTGCATCACCTTATGGTTGGCTGGTAGAGAATGCCATTCGGCATTAAGTCCGCCATTGTATACAGTTGTACATAAAGTGTTAAATAAATAAATAAATAAATAAATAAATAAATCAACATTCTTCGTGTACCTCCTCGTAAAACTTCTAAGGCATTACAGGTTACGAAACCGGATAATTTAACCGCATAGCAGCTATATAGTTGCACATTATATATAGTACTTAGAAAATGGAACCTGTGTAGGTAATAAAATTACGCGAAAAAATCAATATTAATCTATTTTATTATTTAGATCATCACTGTCGGGTCAGTATGGTTCTGAATGCCAGCAATTAATGTTAGCATGATGACTATATTACCTCTAGTAGGAGTCTCTTCTTATTTGACAGCGGTACTACCACGTAGGATACCAGGAATCTGGCAAAAATTCTATCATGTCATACTTAAGAAAACATCCTTATAATTTATAACTGGTTTATATTATATTATAACTTTCGTGAGACATAGTAGTTAAATAACTTTTTTTATATTTTTTAGATATACGTTTGGCCACTATGTATATTATGTTAGCGGCTTACTCACGTAACTATTTGACGAGAAACTCGACTAGTTTCAAGCCACGCTAGAGGCTCATATTCATTAGCAGCATTCCGCGACACGAGACACGGTGACTGTCGCGCTGCTACTGGCTACTCGAGTCTGCGGTATCGAGTTCATCGTCAAACAGTTACGTGAGTAAGCCGAAAACGTAATATTTAATTATTATAACTTGTGAGTAACCAACTCAATGAAAATATCAATGTTGTTGAAAGAGATAAGTTTTTTCTATGATCTATAAATACACGTCATGTTCTCATGTCGTGCAAGAGGTGGCGAATGTAACCACTCGACAGAGCTGACGGCGAGCAGCTAAGTAAGCAGCTATCAAGATAATGCCGAGTAAGCAGCGCGTCTCCCTCCGCCGGTAATTAGCAGCATCCATCATAACTAGGAACACTAATAACTTTGTGGACTTTACATACTATTGCAATATACTGACATTGCCTGCCCACACAGTGTTGTCTCTCTTTCATGTAACAAACAGATCTGTCTCCCGTATTTCACTACTTCAGTACTTAAATATTGTTCCCTTAGTACTTCATGGAAAATATTAAGTACAATGTTATTGTACCTGGAATTAATAGAAAGCCTATTTACCTAAGACATTTACTTGGCATACTTCCAGTCTTTGTCCCTCTACTAAGAATATCGAAACTGGAAAATCCAACAATATTGATTTGAATGGACCTGCGTAGTGGTCACTAGCGAGTATTTTATTAAGTAACTAGCTGTGCCCGCGACTTCGTTCGCGTAGAATAGTGACTATGAGCAGCGTTTTTTTTTTAAATATATACTTATTTTTATTTTAGATTTGGATCATAATCACAGTCATTTTGGGTAGCTAAAAAACCTACTTTACTGTAATGCTTCTCTATATACAATATTAGACGTATGGCCATCGGGGGTGAAAGCATACAGGCTGCTGGGATTGCTAACACGGGACAGAGCCACATACAATTGACCGCGCGAAAAACAGCTGATACTTAGATCTATACCCACAACTTTTAGAGTCTGACCTTGAGCTTTATTAATTGTCATGGCGAAACATAGGCTCACTGGAAACTGAATTCGTTTAAAATTAAACGGATTTTTTTTTGGAATGAGAGAAATCTGAGGAATAAAACCACTATCACCTTTTCCGTACCCTGTTAAATATATATATATATTTATAAGCCATTTCTGAGATTAGCGTGAACAAACAAACAGACAAAAAAAAGTTAGTTACATTTTTGGGTTCGAAATCAACATAACAATAGCCCCTGCTATTTTTTTTATTTTTATTTTCAATGTACAGACAGCACTTTTCTACAATTTTATTATATGTATAGATTAGTTATAGAAATAGCTATGATTACACCAGTAAAACGCTCATATCAAAGCTTAAATTAGTTAAAAGTGATCCAAAATCTGTCATTAGTAACATTATTAATTAGATTTAATTCATAATTATCTAAAGACGTTAAGTTCACTTTGTACTTGTAAACGTAGCTGATAATACGCATTGTGAGCATTGTGACCCATTCCCCGGTATAACATGAAGCCGAGCTATTTATGTGTACTGTGAAGTTCCAGGGAGCGCGGGTCGACGACACAAGGACGTCTCGCATCCGTTATATTGCACGATCAGACGAGATGCGCATTCTTAATGACGATGTAATGTAGGAGTCTATGTTTATCTATATAGGAATATTATATCCATTCGCAAGACACACGACATCGACCAGATAACTCCATGACTGATCATTTTAATCAAGAATCGGTTGGAAATGTTGTAGTCTCGTTAAAAAGTAAATTAAAATAAAAAATTGCGGACATGACTTCGAAAAACAATAATTTAAAGATTTACGAATTACTGTTTGTGTTGGTACGAGTCGTAGGACATGCAATACAATGGCCAAGTGAGACGCCCCCAACAATAATGAACAGCATATCAAGCGTGCGCTGTCGCGACACCACACAATTAACTAACGCTACTACTAATTACACCACATGACAATTAAAACAATTAATCAAAGCGCTACTATAAAAACCATTGACCAACCAACACATGAATCTGTGCTGATTTCAAGATGGCGAACGCAAGATGGCGGTTTGTGTTTGTAGTGTACGCGCTGTACCTGACCAGTGCCGTGCTGGGCTCGCAGGACCTCATGGTGAAGATGACCAAGGGATTCACGAGGGTCGTGGATGACTGCAAAACTGAGGTAAGATCTAGACCTACTATTTTTATTTGACAAACTAATTTACACATATCCTACAAATCCTATCATCCCCTCGCAGCTTAACGTGGGCGACCACATAATGCAAGACATGTATAACTACTGGCGCGAAGACTACCAGCTCATTAATCGGGACATGGGTTGCATGTTACTGTGTATGGCGAAGAAGTTGGACCTCATGGACGACCAGACGATGCATCACGGGAAAACTGAAGACTTCGCCAAGAGTCATGGAGCTGGTAATTTATCTTCAATTTTTGATCGATTAGTTCAAACGATTACTTTGTGGTCAGTCAGATGACGACATTACAAATTTCTTAAATGTCTAATATTTTCCCAACAGACGACGACGTGGCCAAGAAGCTGGTGAGTGTAATCCACGAATGCGAGCAGCAGCACGCCGGTATCGCTGACGACTGCATGAGGGTGCTGGAGGTAGCCAAGTGCTTCCGCACTAAGATCCACGAGCTCAAATGGGCTCCTAGCATAGAGGTCATCATGGAAGAGGTCATGACCGCCGTGTAAAGGAAACCAGAAAACAATACTATATTAGGGGAAACAGCTGCAGTAGTTGGAGATGACAATTCTATTTGACGCGGGAAATGATCTGCAGCCATAAAAAAGTTGATGTACCTATAATTGCTAACGCTATGGAAAATAAAACAAAAGTATGGGGAGTTATATCACCATCGATACAACCTCGTGGTGTGTGGGCAACATAAAGAAATTCATACGTGTGGATGTCATTTGTTTTATGTTCTTTGGCGTTAACGATTATAAGTTCTGCTGAATGATAACTGAAGTCCTTGATATGGCTCTTATATTCTTTCTAACATTATGTAGTAAGATTTGGTGGTTACTGTAACTGGAAAGGGTTTCACATCATTTTTAAATCATCACTTACATACTAATAGTTGTAACACAATCATCTTTCAATCGTCGGAGTGATTTGATTAGATCATCAAGTTCCATCACAAGTAAAATTGTGGCATTTCTTTTATTATTGTCATGGTTCTCTATTCACATCATTTATTTTAGGTTCTTGGATAATTAAAGTGTTTCAAATTGACGAGTATGAAGTTTTATTTAATCAACAACAAACATCGATATGGACAGCCCGTGTGTCCCATTAAATAACTGTAAAACAGTTTGCCAAAATTCTTTTCTTTTTACGAACTATCAGATTAAGCAGTTACATAATGGCAGCTTCATACACATTAAATGTTGAATCTTCGTCTGTCTGTTGCTGCTAAAACTAAACAGAATAAAACAACAAATCACATTGCACCGTACAGTGAAACAAGTGTAAGTTATAATAGAACCGATTATGTAAGTAAAAGTAGTTCCAATATCAAGTAAAACACTTAGATTCAATGAAGGAGGACGTGTCGTGAATCGCCCATAAACCTGCACCTGCGCCCTGCTGCACCCGCGTGTCGATACAACCAACACTTTCCTCGACAAATACAAATAAAATTATAAACATAAGGAAAAGTATCGCATTCTAGTCACATCCGCCCTGTGTGGGGTAGAAGCAGAAGGTTCACTTCGATGGAACTGCGTTAGGTTCAACAATATTGTAGACACTGTATTATGTTTATGGTCGGTTGACTATACGCTGGTGAATAAAAGATTATATACTATTAGGCAGTAGTAAGGTGTCCGGTTTTTCAGAGAGTTCCGCTATTATTTGTCACTTGGTCATGTTTTACGACGCCTTACGAAAGAGTAATTAATTATCTGTGGTAAGAATCATTTTTTCTATTCTGTGGTCATCACATGACGTGCAGAAACTACTTGTTTTTTTTTAGTTTATTCAGCTTTAAAATATCAAATATCACAGCCTCGTGTAAAAATCACACCAGTTGAGCCTTCTGTGAACATTTTCTCGTGGCGTACTGTTAGGGCTCCGCAATAAAAGTAAATAACGTCTCGGTCTCAGGTGCGTCTCGTTCAAATAGATTTAACTGCGCCGCGCACGTATTGTTTGTCGAGCTGGTTTATACGGAACCCGCTAACGGATCGTACGCGTCTTCAGACCGGCTCAGATTTGTGGCGAGAGCTTTGGTTTTATGGCGAATTTATTTATTACTTGTAAACATACATATATGGAAACTTTATGATACAGGTTTAGGTATTACTTGGGCTCTTGGAAACGAGTAAATTAATTGTAATGGTTACAGCTGTAGAAATACAATAATCGATGAATGAACGGCGGGAAGACTCGTAAATGAATGCCAGTGGATATACGGTATCAGTAAGTAGTGTGTCCTCATCAGCGCTTAGAAGGTGAACCACCTCGAGCAACCTTTGAGAGAGCTCTTGAACAGTTTGCAGACAAACGTATCGGAGCACTAAGTAAATCTGTTCACGCCGTTATCACTACATCAAAGTTCGATTAGCGCTGCATGCTTAGCCTCAGTCGGGGAACTGAAAGGGACAGAAGGTACACTGTCCTAGTTGTTTCTAGACTTGAACTGAAACACTGATATTTAAATTTTATAAAAAATCAGTAACAATTTTTATGATTGTAGCAAAAGTAGAAAGAACTTTGCTAGGTTCGATTCTCAATTCAAATTAGAAATACCAGTAGAATAGAGTTCCTAAAATACCTCTATAATGACAATATTACTGCCGTAACTACTGCTACTGCTATAGAAGTGACTGTAACTTACGTTTCATAACTCATGAAGTAACATTAAGCCGGGTGATATCATCCTTCTGCAAGCGTTCACAGTGGCCCAGTGGTGGTGGTAGTGCATGCGCAGGCGCACGTCGCGATTGTGCTGTCGCGTAATGGCGGCGATAGTTCAGAGTTATGGGGCAATTAACCGCACCGAGTCTCACGTGGTGCGCCGGCGCACGCGGGCCCGCCGTGTGAAGCGATTTACCTGGATAGTTTTATTGTTAGGGGACTCGGGAAGGTCAGGGGGTCAGAGAATACCGGTGTAGAAGTTATAAGTTTAGAAGCACCTTCCATTGATAAAATTGTATCATTACAAACTAATCTAATAAACAGTTAATAAACAATAACGTCCATTTGTTGCTTCAAAAGAAGGACCACAAATATTAAGCAAAATCGTTTATCGTTTTTCCTAACACATATGACCATTAAGATATAAACAGCAAACAAAAAATTCGTGAAAGTCTCACGCTTACAAGGCAATATTTTCCCTTCCCTGGGTTCCATACAGTATGGCTGGCAGACGACATTTATTTCCACTACACCAGTGTTTTTCAAACTGTGGGTCGCGACCCCTAGGGGGGTCGCGAAGCCTTACTCGGGGGGTCGCCGACTGAAAGAAAAACGTCTCCACCGAGTCCGCGGACCCACCGGTCAGACAGGCCCCATATGATCCACGTTGGGCGCTGAGACAGCTGGACCGGGTGGTTTTCCTGGAAGCCGCAATTGTGCAGGCCTGGGTGATACCACCGGTCGGACGGTACTCAACGAGTTATATCGCGCGTAGCTTTATCAACTTACCTCGTACTTACTTTCAATACTCTCGCAGCTTCTTGCAGAGTAGACCTGAATAATTGATAAAGGTACCAAAATAGTAGAAAAAAAATCATTAACGTATGTAGTCTTAATTAAATTTTATTAGTTCTTAGTCTTTCTATGACACAAGGGGGTCGCCAGATCTCAACTTGTAAAGGGGTCGCGAAATCAGAAAGATTGAAAAACACTGCACTACACAGTACCGCCTGATGAGAGTTAACGTTTAACTTTAACGCCTTCTAAGGAGTTTACAAGCGGCGACACACGAGTACACGTATATTCCCCCAGCTCACGCGCATGCGCACAATAATTTTATCCATACGAACCAAATGACTCTGACATTGTTTTACTAATGTCCCATTCGACAGAACATCTTTATGGAGCATTCTTACACTTTGTCAGAGCTGAATGTCTGTCGAGTGGCGGAGTAAAGTGAATCTAATTCTACCAAATAGAGCTTAAAGGCGTATGTTCTTGATCTGATCTATAATATAGGTTTGGACAGGGTCTGAAGATAGAAACAAAATGATGAATTGAGGACAATAGTCACAATGCAACATTGAAAATGTTGTTAGAAGTTAAAAAAACAATGTTATCAGAAAAAGCTTTATTCTCCACGTCACCTACGTCCTATATTTCCGTGAGGACCTCACTCACAATGACCTCGACGTTAGGCTGCCAGTTTAGCTCGTGGATACCGGTTCTAAAGCACTTGGCCACCTCCAGCACACGGAGACACTCGTCATCATCACGCTCGTGCTTCTTCTCACAGTCGTGGATTATTTGCACTATCTGTGATGCTACTTCATCACCTGGAAAATTTAAAAAGTTTAACGTAGCTACAGTACCAGGTTCCCACTTTATAGTCGCCATTCTTCTGCGTACCAGCTCCGTGTTTCTTGGCAAACTCCTGTGCATTGCCGTGATGCATTCTCCCGCTAGCGTCCAGCAGGTCCAGCTTCTTACCCATACAGATGATGGCGCAGCCAGTGTCTCGGTTCAGCAGCGTGTACTCCAGCTTCCAGTAGTGGAACAGGTCTGCTATGAGGTGGTCATTCATGTTTAGCTACAACAATCCAACTTTACAATATTAGTAGTGTCTAATAATAACATGACTGTGCACTTCTTATTCCTCTATTAGGTATTTTCACTTGCAATATCATTATATTTAGTTAACATAAAATAGTTACCTCATGCTTGCATTCTTCCAGAACTTTCACGAATCCTGAGGCGATGTACTTCATAGGATCCTTGGATGGTTCTATCTCTCTCATACCTACTGTTAACACCACGAGCGCGACAAAGACGTTACGCGATCCCATGTCAGACTGGTTTACCTCGGTAAGTATAACTTTGTCCCTTATATAGCGGTATCAATTAACAGATTTGTTAACAATCACGTATAATTGTCGACTCCTGCGCATAATTTGTTAAGTAATGATAAAGTAATTTTGTACTTGGTGTCTGCTAATGACCGGTTATTACTAAGTTAACACGTTCTTGTAATTTCTAAGTAGCCTTTGTGCAGGGGGCGTGAGGTGCGTTATTAAAATCGCACTGGAAGGTGTGGATTACAATGAGTATGATTTTAATAAATTGCCTTACTGAGCGGGGAACTACATCGTGGTAAGTGGTAACTCATACTTCGTATTGAAACAAAATTTTTTTAAACTTATATCTACCACACTCAGTTCCAAAATGACATTTATTATTCTTGGAATCTAAATACATCGACTATCTACAATAAACTCTTCTTAAGTAAGAGGCAAGTCGTCTGAAATTCGATCGGTTCAATCGTCTCCGCCACACATTCGATGATGAACGTCTCGTCGGCTGAGGAGCCTCAACCATGTCTGTCACTTGTTCCGGGATTTGGTCAGGGTGCACCCGAGTACGGTTCCAGAAATTATGCTCCGGTGCCCAATCCAACTGGACTATCCCGAAGCGGAAACACTTGGTCACCTCCAGAGCATTATCACATTTATTTATGATCTTTTTCGCATCATCCTTGCACATTTCAAACAGGTCCAACATCCTCAGCGACATTAATCCATCTAAAAAAACTATTGTTGATGATCACGTGTAGGTACATATGTATGTATTAGTTGCTCAAAACTCATAATCAATAATAGGGTAGATGCCTAATTTTTATTTCAATGTCCGTCTGGTAGATTAAAACATTAGACACGTATTTTTAATTTTCTTTCAGAAATGAATACTTTCGACGATATATTGATTTAAAATGTCGCGTGACGTCACTTCTATGTACATTTTATACGTGGAAATGACGTTTTAGCCCCACTCCTTCAACTAACTTTGATTCGTTTTAGCTAAGTATTGTTTTATTATACGACATAATAAAAAATACGTGTCTCATATTTTTTCATTACCGAACTGACGGACTAATTAGATTTTTTTATTTTCATACCCTGTCATCATCCCAATTATATTATAATGCATACGTTACCGGCGCCCGCTGCCTTAAAGAATTCTCGCACATTGTCCGATATCACTGTTTTGCCATCTGGAGTCAGAAACTCATTCTTTTTAAAGACACACTCGAGAGCACAACCCCACTCCTTATTGTCTGCGGAGTTCTTTAGGTCCCAGAAGTTTAAAAAGCTTTGAATTACTTCCTCCTTGATGTCCATCTGATGATAATAACCATATAGATAGGTCAATATACGGGTAGGATTTGAGTACTTTCGATATTATGTAGTTTATAGTTTTTTAAATTATCATAGAAGTTAGATCTTGTAGAAAATAATGAGGCCATCTTAATTATTATAATTTCTGATTAACTGTAGATGACAACAGATACCAGGACCGTGACAGCGTCACGTACCTCCGTCTGGCACTCCAGCAGCATGTCTCCGATGCTGCTGCTGACGACGCGCAGCACGCTAACCTCGTTCTTGCCTTGCACCAGCCTCGCCTTGTATATTATTAGACAGACCACCACGATTATCTTCATACTGAGTATTGCTCCAATCGTCCCAATATTTTACTTCAAAATGGCGTCTGCTCGGGTCACACATTGTGAAAACTCGCAATAATTGAGAAACGTGTTGCATTAATTACTTTGTTAATTGGAATTTTGTTATCAGATAACGAAGTTTGAGCCAGTTTCAATTGATGTGGTGATTACATTACCTCCATGATTTGTCAAAATATTCCTAAATTTACAATAATACTTTATGTGGGCCTACTTAGTTAATCCATACGTAGGTAAGGTTTTTTTCCACGAGATATTTCAGTACTTAGATATTGTATGAATTCAAATATTAGTAAAAACAGAATATAAAAGCTTTTTACTATGTATATCATTTGCATGCTTATATGGTAAAATATGGCTGAACATGTATTTTTATGTCACCTGTAATTGTTACCCATATTTGCAAAATAAAGGTATCTTTATATCTTTATCTTTATCTTTTAGGAAACCATAATTTAGTATCTTTTCGATGTTAGTATCGGAATACAATCGACGACTGATTGTAATTTTATTTCACAAAGTGCATTTTTAAGTACCTAATTTCTATCTTTAGAGTCTTATAGTCGTGTTCACTAACCACCCTTAAACCAAATTCTAACTAGGAGTTACTTAGCGTAACCTTTACCTTTTTTATGGCATAAGCCGGTAAACGAGCAGACGGATCACTAAGTGCTTCCTAATAAAAGTGCGTTACCGGCCTTTTGGGATTAGAAGTTTGAGGTTCGTTGAGGATTCAGGGATTGGAGAGATTGGGGAAGGGGGGGGGTTAATTGGGCCTCCGGTAACCTCACTCACATGACGAAATACAACGCAAGCGTTGCTCTCAGTTTCCTGTGAGGCCGTGGTATCACTCCGGTCGAGCCGGCCCATTCGTGCCGAAGCATGGCTCTACCACACTAACCTTTAGGTGTTAGTTTGGGCTGGTGTCGCCAACCTTAGCTTTAAGAGTGCCTTAAATTCTAAGAGAGTTTAGTGAAAACGGGCATTATTTGCCGAGGGTTCAGGAATAAGTTTGATGGTAAGTAGGTACACTGTGTACATGTAGTTATAAATAAAACAAGGAACCAATGATGTACAGTTTATTGACCAATATTTGCCATCATGTTGCAACTTATATCTACCCACACCCTCTGAGGCGAACTGGCGAGCCAGGAGATTCTTCACAACTAACCTAACGTGGAGTCCATTGAACGAAGCCGACGTCAAACAATTTTGGAAACCTTGTTATTTGACAATTTTCATGCTTTATTAACATCGATGAAACGAATTGTTGACCAAAGTTCGAAATATCTGATATGCTTGGCAAGCCAATAGCTTTTGAGTAATTGAAGTTACACTTCAGCAAGCACCTCTCCCACGATGAGTTCCACGCTGGGAGCCCAGTTGAGCTCATGTACCTTCAGCTTGAAGCACTTGGCTACGTTCAGGGCCTTCATGCAAGGATCCGCTGCCTCATCGGGAGTAGACTGTGCGCACGTGTGGATCATGTCCACTATCTGCTTCGCCATGGCCTCGTCTGGAAGATCGTGGAGCAAAGGTATTAGTCAACTAGACTAGTACGAAGGCAGATTTTTGATTTAAGTTCATTTTAAATTAAATACTAAAAGACATACTGGTCAAAGCTTTAATAGTCTTAGTCTATGTATGATCGGAATATTCTTCTACTTCAGTAATAATAAATATTTTGTACTTAAATAATAGTAAAAGTAAAGCCAATCTTTCACGTTAGCTGTTTGTTTTAGAGCATCAGCCTGCAGCGACATTACCGCGAGATATTTCCCAATAATACTCCGTGACATTACACTTTCTTTACAATTTTCCGCTTCAATCGTTCGGATAGTTCGCTGATTCATGTATTTTTATAAAAATATATATAATTTCTAAGATTGATACCACTGACAAACGGTGAAGGAAAACATCGTGAGGAAACCTGGGCTTATAATTTCTAATTATAAGTTTGTAATCGCTATGATGAGATGAGAGTACTTTGTTGGTGCGACTTAATGCAATTTGTTAAAAGTCTATAGTAAAATAAATTGTTGACACGTATAATAGACTGGTCCTACGAAGACGGAGTTTAATTACTTTGTCAACAAATAAGTAACTGACAATCACTAGATAGGATATAAAGCTTGAATCTTATCTTTACAGCTTAATATTGCTGCCATGCCTAATCTGTCAGGACTGACTTGTTGTTATTCCATATTTTACGAGTGGTTGGACAATAAATCATCAACATTGCAACGGACAACGGAACGCAGTAATGGAAAACTAAATATAACAAATGTCTGACTAAAGTTCTTAAGCAAGAAATTCTAACCAGCGCCGTGTTTCATGGCAAATTCCTGGGCCCTGCCGTGATGTAGGTTCAATTCCTGGTCGAGGATCTCCAACTTGGAGGAGAGGCAGAGGATAGCACAGCCGGTCTGTCTGTTCGTCAGCTCATAGCCTTCCTTCCAGAAGTTGTAGAAGTCTGTCGTCACAGAGTCCGGCAGGTCCATCTACAACAAGGAGCCAAGCCAATCTAATCTGATTACATACTGTAGGCATATAACTACCTACAACTAGGTATTGAATTATTCTAAAAATAATTAACCTTTGGAACGCCGAGCCACAAATTCCGCGCAAATTTCTACGAAAAAAATAGGGATTCCAATAGGGAATCAAATTGTTAATTTCGTGTTTCCGGTTCCGCTTTTTTTGTCATGTCATGACATCGGCGCTCAAAAGGTTAAAAAACAGAATAGTAAATAAACACATGACTTAAGATGTTAAACTATTCGCATGTGAATCTGGCATCTAAGTAAGTAGCTAAAGAGCTAAAGATGATGATAACAAGCACGCACAGCTCAGTGAGAAAACATAGCAAGATGTAAATGTAAGACTTTTGATAATATTGAAATGTTTTAAATAAAATCCACTTTGCAAACTCACCTCCTTCTTACAATCATCCAAAGGTTTCGCGAAATTGACGGCCAAGTTCTTCATGACATCTTGCGAGGCCTGCACCACCACCAGCAGACTGGCGGCCACCACCAGCGCCACCCTCAGCGACATGGTAACCGATGGACAGAACGCCATTGTGGCGACACATCGCCAGGACTCGCTTATATCCGAGGCTAATCACCGTCTTAATAAGCTGTGGCGACGTGACAATGAGTGCTCTCGTGTCAATTACACGCATGCGTTAATTGGTGTAATGCCTTCATTCATGGAAATCCAATTTAATCGCAGCCCAGCCTGTCATTTGTAATAGCATTGACATTTCTGATTGGTACTTGTCATGTGCTCATCAAAGCCGTATAATTCGCTAAATTGGGCATAAAAGGCTAAATGAAAAAAAATTGGGGGTTTTTATAGCATGGTTGAGTAAGTGTAAGTAAACTCACAGAAGTGACGCGTGACGCAAACAGTTCGATATCAAATTTCAAATTAAACCAGAACCTGAATTCCAACCCCAGCCTAAAATTTTTCGATAATACTCGAAACCTTTCGAGCAGTCCCGAACGAACATACCCAATTCTTTTCGAGCACTCTCATTTCTTTATGTTTTCATCAAATCTCGAAACTTATCTATCAAGCTAGAAACATTACAAGCAAGCTCAAATCTTTTCGGACAATCCCGAAGGTTCGTATCCGGTAGAACCTATATTCGGTGCATCTCTACATTATCTAGTTATAATCAATCTAGATCTAGAACTAGAAATCAAGCTCTAATCCGAACTAGAACGTGAAGAGAAACTCTCGCTTAATACAATTGACTGAGGGACATAATGACCGAATGAATAAATATGAATGAAGCGGCCCATCCGTGCCGAAGCATGGCTCTCCTAACCTAATAATAATGAACAATTTAACCTAATAATACGTGAAATTGTAATCTGTTTTCGTTTCGTCATGTTCGACACATTCTGTAAAAAGTGTAACTTTGTAACCTAATTGTAGAAATAAATATCATTTGCAGAAAATAAACATCATTTCATTTTATTACTTTTTACAGTTTTATAGACATGACATATTTAATAAGTTTTTGCATTAATTACGCAGTTTACGCGACGAATTGAAACATTCATTAGAGAATATTACCAGTAAAATCTGTAGACTAGTACAGCTCAAGCTGCACCAGCTAGGGAACAAAAGGTTGTAACAGAATTCCTCAACGTTTAATGTGTAGGAAGACATTCAATTGCCCGCTGGCACGGTCGTAAGGAAGTGCTGTAAGGTAAGAGTAATAGTTAACTTTATGACGATACTCTTTAGTCTACAACTCGTCAGTGCAGTTCAAACGCCAGACAGTGCCTGTCTGCCTGATACTAGCAACCAACGCTTAGTCAGAGTCAGAAGGGTTTCTTTAAAAAAATAACTTTTATTTAACAAATTATTATTCTCCCGCGTTGTTCAGCACCATAGTAACTGATTATCATTTGTATTTTATTGCATTGGTTATAAGGTTTCAAAAAAGTAACACGGCTCAGTTTTTGAAACCAAATGTTGTGTTTTAATCAGCAGCATTGTAACTTTGGGTTGAAAATGATGACGCCGTTAGTTTTATGTGAATATTTGTGATAGGTCACCCACCTCTCTGCTATTAGTCTTTAGTTTGATTTGTGTGTTTATAAATTAATGTATAAGTTTTTAAATGTGCAATCTGAATAATATAGGACGTATCGAAGTAATTAATGTAACACTCACTTTTCACTATTTATGTTATGAGTCCCATGTAATATATCGAGAATGAATGCCATATATCGAGCACAATTCCACAATTCCAGACTCTGCAGCTAGTACCGAAATTATTTTAAAAAACCCAGTAATACTTTGCCCGACCCGGGAATCGAACTCGAGACCTCTTACCCGGCAGCCGCAATTGCGACCGCTCGGCCAACTGAACAGCCTCAATCTGTGTAACTAAACTTAACACTTCGTGTGCTGTTTTTAAGACTAGTCATGACTAGAATATAAAAAAATGGAAGAATGTTATTAACTACTGATTGACTGTTAAGTCTACATTTAGTGAAAAGTGGGTTGCCTCTTCGGGGATAAAAGGCGTGATGTTATGTTATGTAAGTAATTAATATTGTAATAATAGGTTTAAGTATTTTTTTGTATTCTAGAATGTAAGTATTTTGGCTCTCGCTGTAAACTTTCATTATAATGTGTAATAAATAAATAAATTGTCACACCATTGTGTTACTGGTTATATTTCTAACGTCCACACACGTGTGCCTTGCCTAGCTTGTCGGAGATACTTAGAAAGCTGCATGTGTTACACAAAAAGTATTACCTACTGTCATACGTATACCAACTTATTTCTTTTTCTTACTACCTATATCATTTCCCAATTTGAATTTGTTCCTGTTATACTTAAAATTAATTTCAGTCATTAATAATGAAAGATTCTGATTTTAATTTTTAGCATTTTATTTTTGCTCCGAGACGATTCGCTTTCAAAAATGATATTAATATCCAACTTTACTGCTGACCAACTGATAAACTGATAACCATTGTTTTTACATTTTTTACTTTTAGAATTGTTTCATGAAATAATTCTGATCATAATTTCATTGATTAAGGCGTGGACCTGTATTATTATTATGTTTTAGAATAAATAGGAAAGACAATAAAACATGGCGATATCACAACAAAATGTACTTAATACAATATTATTAAATAAAAACTATTCATTATTTTTTTTTGTAGTTTTTTAAATTGCATCTCTATTACTAAGTGCAGCAGTCAATGGTCCATTAGGGTATTAAGGCCAGGTCTTCAGTACTTCTCCATTACAGCTTCAATCATCGCGACTTCTGGAGCGATACCGGCTGCCTTCGCGTCCACCTTGAAGCAGGCAGCCACCTTCACCACGCGCTCGCAGTCGTCTGTCATACTGTCGAACTGCTTCTCACAGTTGTGGATCAGTCCCACCAGCTTCTCCGATAACACGTGGCCTGGGAGGTGGGAGACAGATTGGTATAATAGAAGAGTTAAGCAATGATCTGAGGCCTGTGTTCAATATCAATATGGAGGAGCAGCCTCTGTTTAGTAAGAGCTCAGTGGGAAGTTTTACATTATGATAGTAATAAGACGTAACAGTGGTGGTTCACTCCATAAGTAATTAGATAGTTCAGAATTGGTATTTCTGTGGCTGATGGTTATAGACTTTATTTTTTATTAAAAAAAACCTGCACCACACTTGGGTTTTCTCCTGTGTCTTGGGTTCGGTTACAAACATACAAGTTCACATGCACATGACAACCAGTCCCGAAACAATAAATTGTGGATCACACAAAGAGTTTTTCTGTGCGGGAATCGAACCCGCGACACGTTGCGCGGCAGCCGGTTGCCCAGCCACCGCACCAACCGTGCAGTCACACATATACAAAGACTTGTAATTATGGTGCTAAACGTGTTAAAAATATTCATTACCGTACCATTAGATGACAAATTAGTACCTAGTCGTCACTTGTCAGAGCCATCCATACAGACTTTCAAGTATTTGTGTATACTGAAGCTATTACCTAAGAGTAATATTTTCTTTAACTAAATTAGTGAACAAGTTAACGACCCTTGCGGTCGCCGTGAGTTTCGCGATAAATTCAGTACAAGCAATATGTCTGGCAGTGTATGGGTCGCGTGACCTTTGTTTCAGTCGCATTGCATGTGCAGTCAGCCGTGAGTTATGTCTATTGGAGGCAGACTCTACTTTATTTACTTCGCGAAACAAAAAAATGGGAATTTTTTTTTAAAAATTGCTAAAGTATTGCTATTGTATTGTTTTATACTTTACTTTACTTACGAATGATTACACACTATGCGCAACTGCGCCTCAATAACTGAGGATGGGTTAATCCCTGACGAAAATATTATGTTTCGATACACACAAACTAAAACCATGTGTGGAAATGGTGTGGAATTTTCCCAAGTTTCGCCACAATTGCATCATTTCAAAAGTGACGCAAAATGACAAGTGGCAATTAGTATTCTAACCGTTAGGGAAGCTCTTGACGTAGTCGTGCATGTTGACGTGGTGCATCCTGCTGTCGTCCTGCAGCAGGGAGAACTTGTTGGACATGCAGATGATGGCGCAGCCCAGCTCCCGGTGCACCACCTCGAAGTCCTCACGCCAGAAGTGTTGGAACTCCTCTAAAACCTCTGCAGATAACCCTGACTGCGGGCAGAACATTTTACTTAGTAACACCTTCTTTGAAGCCTTCACAGATATTATTGACTACCTTTATTTTATTAAAACTCAGGTTGAATTCGGTTACGACGTCACTGAATAATTTAGTACTCCAAAAAAATGATTTGTTCTTACCTCTTCTCTGCACTCCTCGAGAGCTTTTCCGAAATGGGCGGTGACATGGCTCATCACCTCGGCGGTGCCCATCACCGAGCTGGTGACGGCTGCCATGACAACCAGCAGCAAACAACACTTCGACGTCATCTCGCCACAAATGACCCGTCAGCACCCGACCACACATTTTATATGATAGCTAAACTTTTTTTACTTCATTCAATTGTATGCTATTAGTAATAAACCAAGTTATTTGCTACCATCATAGTGCTTATTCCGGTTGCATAAAGTCTAGTTTCTGCTCACATAGACGTAGGTTATGTTTGCTCGTCACAAACTGATGATTTTGTCCAAAGACAGAGGTAATGTGTATGTTGTATGTAATTGTGGTATGATCGTATGTTGCCAGTCATATCAAACGTGGTGGTTTACCTAATGACTGCCGGAGGACGTCATTCATTAGCTACTTGTGTAATGAAATAAATTAGCTATTGGCAGAATGTCTCGAAGCGTTTTATAAGCGTTGGATCAATAGGTAATTAATATAGGATCGTAATTTGTGATTGCGCGCATCGCTCCGGGACCACCAACGCTGGGAGCATGAGTCTACGTGCAGGTAACGTGCGATACATACTTCAGTACAAAATTATTTTACTTCTGTATGAACAAGTACATACTTAAAACACTTTCCCTCATAAGAAAAATGTCATTGTCCACCAACACGAGCGTAACAGTTGGAGATGTATATATGGTGTCTCGAGTAGGTCTGCTCTTCCATTAGTTCAGTATTCGAGGCACGTTTCCCATAGCACGGGCCATTGGTCGGCAGCCGGCATACGTGTGCCGGTGCCCCTTCCCGTGCAGGCGTGATGCATGGCGCTCCGGGTGACAGCCTACAAGGCTTCGCCATAAACACCAAAAAAGGTAAATGCTTTTTAAAATCGTTACTTGTGCACCGTAGGTGAGATGTACATGTGGTAGGTAAGTGCAATGAATGTTCTTTCAATGGAGGACAATTGTTGATAGTCTTCAAGACTAGTTTATGTCTTACTAACTTTGGATTTACAAACAAACATACTCAAATACAATTAAATAATATGTTATATTGAATACAGAATTACAGTGATTTGTCCTGTTTGGGTCCAGGAAAATTCATGTCTTAGGAGTCCTTCGTCAGACTCTAAGTAAGAATTTGGTAACACTTTACGGCTTCAACTCCGGCCGAGGCGACAAGAACTTCTTGGATTTATGATATTAATCTCTGTAGTCTAAATATTGCTATCTGCTAAAGTAAATAAGAATGAATAAGATTTTACATAAAAAAAGTAATTAAATTTAACGTCAACACATTAATCTTTATAACTTCTGAAACTTATCACTTCACAACTAACCAATTACTGATAAACGGTATTCTTTCAGAACAGTCATTAGAGCTACAAATTTCCCTGAAGACGGGAAAACTATCCAGCGTGAACTTCACCCATCCATCATAGACGTCATGGTAAGCAGGGTACAGCGATCTGTCAACTGTAATGAGACTAGTTTGACAGGTGCAGAGGGCGCCACGCACGAAAAATGAAAGGTTTTCGCATCCTGATTGAATATGTTCGTGATGTGTTTGACTAATGATGGACAATTGTATAGGGACTGTAGTTTTGTGATTTATTGATCATTTTGCGCGTCGTACAACTTTCTTTCTTTTATGTTGTACTGTGATTAGTGTGGCTAAATCAACGGGACAGTAAATAACTGCATAAATGCACACAATATAATAACAATAACTTTGTCTCCGGTTTTATTTTCTTTATAAAAGTTTTGCAAAGCAGGAGAATTACAAACAAGCTTCTTTATTGTTTGTTTACAAAAACAATCACAGTCCTCGGCCAATAAACTAGCGAGGGGAGCCCACAATGAGTAATAGTCGGTGTTGCCAGCCTCGCGATCACTTCTCATTCGCCTCACGTAGTGTTGCCAGGGGAGAAATAAATATTTCCCGCGAAAATCCGCGGCCTGTTCTATATGTAAATTTTTATGTTTTTTCCATCAAATAAAGTCGTGCCGTGTGTGGTTTTATAATTTTACAATACAAGGCTCAGGTGTCGAACCCGCGTAGTCACGAATTTTAAGAGAAAAATATATTGTATTGGAGCTTGTCTCCTATAATTTTATTCGGGGGTTACAAACAATAAAGATGCATACGGAAAATTTGCATTTCAGGGATTTCCCATGCAGTAACAATTCAACCGTGCAGCGCAAGACACAGTCTCAAAGATGTACATATAAGAGTACTGTACCTCTATATTATGAGGAGCAGGTGTAGTCACCAAGTGTCTGCCAGTATTAGACTACTGGTCTATTCCGTAGATAGAACTTGTACGTACTTCGTCACAGTCGTAAAATAACGCTTAGTATAGTTGCTGTTTAAAAGTTAAGAGATAACAGAAGTAGTTTTTCCCTAATTATAATGTAACAAATACATTTCCAAAACTTTAAGCTACACTCGTAGCAATATTTACTCAGGTACGTACTACTGTGAAAGTATCGATTAAACTTGCCAAAATAAAGTATGTATGTGTCCATACATCAAGTTTAATGAAATACTCAAAGGTACTGCAACAATCCATCAAGCTGTCCGTCTGTCTGCACCTCGGCAAAGTTACATATACAGCTCAAAATATACAGTATCTTAGAAAATGAGGCCCCATCGAACGCAAACTTAACTTTGTTTTAAAACACCATTAGTAAACTCATTCTACAGCTGCGACAACGAAGAATGAATCTTATCACAACATAATACGTGTTAAAACGAAAGTACAGAGTATTTGTAAAAGTCAAAACAGAAGTCAAGTATAAACAAGTAGCTATTGCACTGCTGAAAAAGCGTGCACATTAATTTTATAACATTTCCCAAAGGCATAGAAGAGGTTTTTGCTTGCGTCGCTTTTTTGTGACAGCAGAGATAAATTGGTTCCTGGAAGGAATGGATTCCGTGGGGACTTCACCATTTTTCAAGAAAACAGCGTTGAATACTAAATGTGGGGAACAATGACTTAATAACGTCGAGCTGACGGCTCACGACAAACACTGCAGCTGTAGACAAGAGAACATTAACAGACCTTATCTTAATGTACGCACGTGCTTCATTTGTTTTTATTTGAAACTAGCGACCCGCCCCGGCTTCGCACGGGTGCAATATGCATGTATTATACATACAAACCTTCCTTAAGAATCACTCTATCTATTTAAAAAAACCGCATCAAAATCCGTTGCGTAGTTTTAAAGATCTAAGCATACATACGGATATACAGCGAAAGCGACTTTGTTTTATACTATGTATTGATGTGTAAAATAATTAACACCGAATATGATGCAGATGAGGCGCAGAACCTCAGTAACAAGACTACTTTATGACCCATTTGAGGAAATTCAAACCAAAATCTAAAAAACACACAGTAAGCACAGCTTACAAGTCTGACAGGTGCACTGCACATATACAAGTTCACCTTGACCGTCCCTGTAGGCGAGTTATCAGGTCGTGTGTCGTGATTTACGAGCTCTGCCTGACCTCACTACTCACTGCCTGCATGATGTATGACTCAGCTGTAATATTCATTCACCACTACAGAAAGGTACATACAAAACGCCATATTTTACAAACAATACATTGTTACATTATTACTGTCATTAATGCATCGTACGTTTTATTAATGAGCAGTCAACTGCACGGCTGGTGTAGTGGCTCTGCGTCGGGCTACTGACTATGTGTATGTGTGTTGTGCGTTTGATTCCCACACGAAACAATACATACATTTTTATTCTCCGAAGGGTTAGGCTTTTCACACAAATTATTGATCCCCGGTGGCTTAAAGTGCTATATTGTATATGAATATCAAGGTATCAAGAAACTCCACTGCGGAGCAATATTTACACAAATCACAAAATCCAATAACTGTTACTTGCTACCGCAGCGTCTGCCAGCACGCTATGTATAGCCAGCATCCTGTACTTACCTCGCAATAGTATGCAGATGTGCGCTGGTAGCCAGCTTCACCAGCGGCCGCTGTGGTGGCCTGCTGGGCCTGGTGGGCGGGCTGTACGTGTACTCTGCTGCGGGCGAGCCCGTCAGCCACGACCAGTGCTCCGTCATCGTCACGGGGACTTTATATCACTACACGAGATTGTATAAATCAAACGATGGTTTGAACATTCATTTTGTTTTGATTACTTTATGTATTTTAGCTATTAATGTAAAGAATTTAAGTTGGTAACGACGACTTTACGAAATGCAACTAGTTAAATCCATTTCTAAAAAACATTAATTGGTTATCAGGTTCCATCACGACGCCATATTTTCCTCCGTCTACCAAGCTAACCATGTAATATATCAAATTCCTAAACTCTCACAACCTCTTCACGTATTCATCTTTCACAGTCTCGATTCATGAATGATGATTGATAACAACTGGAAATAGTTTAGTGTTGTAAAATATTGTTCTTTGATCTGCCATTATAACCTTTATGACAATACACATAAGGGTCGTGCACTTGCATCTTCTGATATGCTATTAAAATATTTTGGTATTCCAACACAGACGTTATAGTCAGACGCATAAGGTTAAAAGTTTTCCTTGCTAAATGGAAAGCAGGATTTTCCCACATGAAAATATACCTTAAGTCAACTGAAATAAGTCAGGAAATTGTTTACTGAAAAATAAACCGGTAGAAAGGAATCTGGACCGCTTCAAAACATCGTTATTAAACTTCCCTTTTCAAATCTTATCCTTGAAAGAACGGTGGAATAGGATTACCTCCTCACGCTTTATATGATTAGAAAGGGACGACAAGTGAATATCGGAAGCGTGGAGTAAGCGTTTAATAAGCACTGGGAGTAAGTGAGGCAATAAATCTTAGAGGAGTTGGTAGTGGGGACTACAGGGAGCGCGAGCGGGGCAGCGCACTATGGAAAATTCATAGCGACACTTATGTGACGTCATGCTGTTCTCAGAATGAAATTCTTAGATGAGTGTTCATAAAGGTAGGGTGCAGACTGGCGGGCGACTGGTGCGACTGTTATTGTGTCCTCCGCACAGATTTATGTAGCTCATAATAATGGTATGATCTGTGGAGATGTACATTTCAAGAGGCGTGCGGTGTAGACGGCGGAATTATTCATGGTGGCTCAT